AGAGAGAGGGAGAGAGGGAGACAGAGAGAGAGACAGAGAGAGGGGGAGAGACAGAGAGAGAGAGGGACAGAAGTATATACACTATTTGTTGTTGGACAAAAATATGAGCAGAAAATTAAACTTGACTAAAACTAATAAATAATAATAATAATAAATACATATAATCATTATGACTTATTATATATATAATATCTACTACTATCACTACTTTAACAATTAGTATTGTTTTTATTACTGTTTATTATTATTATTATTACAACTACAGAACCACACCGCCATCCTACTGTAACAAACACTGCATATTATAATAATAATTATTATTATTATTTGAATATAAATGTAATAATCTTTCTTTCAGTGCAAACGAATATACAAACTTTCATTATGTCGTTTTATATGATCATATTTTAGATTTTTGATTATTGTTGTTGTTGTTGTTGTTTAATATAAATGTAATTATCTTCTTATACTGATCATATAAAGTACAATAACAACACATAGAGCCATATATATTCAGAAACCAAGTGTTTAATCAAATCTTTATAAAAGGAAATATAAAATAAAAACAAAGAACACAAAATAAATATTTTTAAAAAACAAATAAATGTAACTACTTTATAAATTGTGTATAACTATGAGGTAAAACAGTAAATATTAATACAATAAAATCGATCTGTTATCGCACAGTAGAGCTTCATTCTCATTGGCTACGAACCCCCCTACGTCAGCGCGTAAAACACCACGTCCGCGGCCCCGCCCCCTGACGCTTGTTGCCACAGTAACGGGACTCCGGCGCACACCGAGAGTTTGCTTCGATCCGGATAAAAACCGCGTTGTTGCGGGTTTAAACATGAGCTAACTGCGGGAGAGAGATGGAGAGACTGCGGTACTTCACTCCCAGCGAGGTGGCTGCTCACAACACTGCGGCCGACCTGTGGGTGTCCTTCCTGGGCAAAGTGTGCGACCTGACCCCGCTGATGGAGCAGCACTCCGGTGAGTCAAAGCAGCTGCTTATAATAACTCATTACTGTTATA